ATCTAAAACAAACGCAGCGTCATCAAAAATCTAATTACCAAATCCTTCAATATGGAGCACCCAACAGAATTTTGTCAGCAATTTATTCTTTCAATTAATTACCATTGTTTATGACGTTTGTTAAAGTTGCATTTTTTGTATATAAATAGTTGTTAATTGTTTAATAAAAATCAGTAATAATCCAACAGTGGTTTTACTCCCCAATACCAAACTTCCCGGGTGTACTAACCCAACCTACAAGCTACAATCAACAAACTACTAAGTGTTCCGAGCAGCCGCCTAAATTCCAAGACAGGAATTTACAGGGATACTTAAACTTAAAGTATAGAAATTAAAAAATGTGAAAATATACAGGGAAAGTCATCTAAAACCATAATTTTGAATCATCATTACTTATTGGGCCACCCTTCATATGGAAAATTAATTTGAGAATGTAGTACTTATGTATTACTATAAGTATTCAATCTCCGTTAGTACCTATAGGATATATATGAAAAACACAGTTGTGTTGGTTCTAGCACTTATAACTCGAGAACGGCTGGACTGGTTTTTATGATTTTTGTTTTATTGAATTTGTCTTTGTCCCTAATAACATAATAAATCAAAAAATTCCAAAAACAAAAAACAAAATTATCTCTTTTACTTGTGAAAAAAAATCACTAATCCCGCATACCGCGGCATCTCTTATAACCGATACCAAGTTTACCGCCGCATTTTCATTGCAAATCATTTTGTATACGGCGCCATCTCTGATACCTAGAACGAAGCTCGCCGTTGCGCGGTAATTTCATTGCAGATACAGTAGAACAATGCTGCTCAGGAACTGGAGTTATTCCGAACAGAACTATTCCACTATTCCGATCAGATAGAGTGGTGCAGAAAGAGTAGATCAAATAGAATAGTGCAGATAGAGTAGAACAGATGGAGTAGTGCAGTGCATGCAGTGCAGATAGAGTGAAACAGGGCTGCGCTGGAGATTTTTTTGTTTTCTTTACATTCTTTAAACATGCCTGAGTTTATTTAATTGGTGGTACACTTTACAAGAATAATGCTCACAAGCTGCCTAAAAAGGGATGATATAAAATTTTAATTTTAGGTGACTTTTGATCCAGAGAGTAAACATTAATTTTCTTCAACCAAAGCCAAATTCACTATCGAAAAAAACTGAATTTAATTCAGCTAATAGATACGTTAACACAACATTTAATAGGCATTTAATAATTCTGAGGCGGTACGAAGTTCGCCGGGTCAGCTAGTAGGATATATAGATTACCGGGCGCTTAGTAACGAACCCTGTATACAGAGATGGCCAAAAGTCTGGAATAAAATTCATAGCTTTGCACCAAGTAATTTTTGCAAAGAAGAACGCTGAAACACGTTAATTAATTGATTTTGAATTTTTCACATTTTTCCAGTTAAATGAATAGTTATTTATTATACAAGGGAAAAAAGTACTAGATTTTAGCACGAGGTGTGGTTTGTCTCCTGACGCGAGTTAAATACTCAAATTAGTAGAATGCTTTTTAAAAAAAAGATTTATTTCAATAAGACTTAACTTACTGGTACAGTGTGTGACTAAAGACTAAACTTATTCTATGTAAAAAGCTCCCATGAAATAGTAAAATATAAAGTATGCTTATTCTATGATTATTCTGAGTCGAGCTAATATATTCCTGGTATTGGCAGTTCACGTATTGGTTCATGTCTAACTCGCGAAGCGGAGGGAGACAATACAGCGAACGCTAAAATCTTACTTTTTTCCCATCTATAAAGCCCAATTTATAAAGTCGCCGCCGTCGAGATTCCGTTTGCGTTTGCGTCGAGCCAATTGAATATTAGAAATCCCATAAAATCATTTATACTCGTCGTCGGCCCCACAGCAGTGTTGCCACCTCTATTACAATCGTAATAGATCTATTACAATCAAGTAATTTCTATTACGCTATTACCAAAGGAAAAAATCTATTGCTTTTTCGGGAAAATTATGTTTTGGTGAATAAGCAATTGAAAAATTTTACAGGCATCATAAATTATCACATCAAACCACAAAGAACACTTTAAAAAAACATCTTTTGTCAATGTTGTGTCCTTTGTGCGTGAAAACTGAAAACCGCTGAATGAAAATGCTTCACTTTCAGTTTCATAATAGGTTTATTCGGACTTAGTTCAGAATCAGTTCTGAATTGAGCTGCACATGCGCATTTGTTTATTTATGTTCGGTATGAACAAATGCGTGAGCGCAGTTCAATGTTCAATTCAGAACTGATTCTGAACTAAGTGATTCTATGACTAAAGAATAAATAATCCTATACCTATATCTAATTTATGGCAAAAAAAAACTAACACAAATGAGTAAATTAAGCTTAAAAACACAGCATAAAAGTAAATACGGCGCATAATGGTGGAGCGCCTATTCAATATTTTGGTTATCTCTCATGCATAACTGACAGAAGTGACAGATCTATTACCAAAAAGTCAAATCTCTTACAATTTTGGCTTCAATCTATTACATTTAATTTTCGTGAGGTGGCAACGCTGCCCCACAGTTCGCCGTCAGCATAAGAGACTACGGTAAACAGCGACGCCAACGCAAACGCAGACGGAAAGGGAATCGCGACGGTGAGTTTATAAATTGGGCATAAGACACTATTTTTCTCTGCGACTGAAAATCCCACTTTTTTTTCCTATCCATGCACTATTTTTTTCTGTGACCGTACTACGTAGAAAAAAATTTGACAGGTACCTGTTACTTTTTTCCCGCGAAACAAAAATAATCACTTTTTCCCGTGGGAGGAAAAGTGACATTTTTGCCCCTATCAACAGGTACAAAAAGTCTACTTTTTTCCCGTCACAGAAAAAATAGTTTATTATACAAGGGAAAAAAGTACTAGACTAAAATCTTACTTTTTTCCCATGTATAATACACTATTTTTTTCTGTGACGAGAAAATCTCAACATTTTCCATCTATACATTATTCGCTTTGAGAAAAAAGTTTGAATAGTACCTGCTACTTTTTTCCCTTGGGAAAAAAAATTGACTGGTACCTGTTACTTTTTTCCCGTGGAAAAAGAAATCACTTTTTTCCCATGGGAGAAAAAGTGACATTTTTGCCCCTGTCAACAGGTACAAAAAGTCTACTTTTTTCCCGTCACAGAAAAAATAAATAAAATTCCAACCCCTAACCCCCAGGCTACCCCAGCTTTTTTTTTAATGGAAACCTATGTCTGTTGGAGACTCATTGAGAAGCTCATGGAAAAAGGAATTCAGCCATACAAAATAAACAAGTTTTATGTTTTTAATAGCCAGTTTTTTTTAGGGGTGTCCAAGATCATGATGGGGATCCCGTAAACGGTAGCAGATACGGCATTTTGCTATTTTGGAATTTGACGTTTCGTCTTTGGGCCACCATCATCAACTTCATTTTTTTGAATACGAACCCTTATTTTTTATTTTAGATTTCATAAGCTTCTAATATCCCGAAAGCAATGTACCAATGACATATTACACTTATTCGAAAAATTTATATTATTGTCATTTTCCATAAGAGCTTAATGAGAGACAAATGTCACTTTAGAAATAATAAGCTAACACACACAAATATTCGCATTGAGAATTATTGAAACAATAATGTTAATTAATAAATTATTTCGGTTTCAACTTAACTTTTCTTGTCAAGTTACAAACTAATGGTTACTTTATGCTTGAAAATTTCGAAAATTTTATAGTGGGTACATCAAACCTACAAATTATTGTTAAAAGTTCTCGATTTCATTGTCTTTAGAATGAGAATGAGGCACATTATTTCAGAATTAGTTTTCTTTTTATTATCAAATCAATAAGTTTTATTTGTAAGAGTAACCTATATTAAGAAAAAATTACTCGATTTGTTTTTAATACCAAGTGTTGCAAAAGAAATGTTGTGAAATATTGGTGTTGAAATTTACATTAATTAGGTACATTCCTTCTATCTCGTAGGAAAAAATAGTGTTTCTAATTCGTGCGGAAAGTGTCACTTTTCCGCACGCGAATACAACGAGGAAAAGAGACTTTCCGCACGAGTTAGAAACACTATTTTTTCTACGAGATAGAAGGAATGTACCTAGTTAGGAAATATAATATTTCGAATATATGCGATACGTCAAAGGTTTTGGGACATCAGAAGCTCTAAAAATCTGAAATAAAAAATCCAGGATCTTATATTTACAACAATTATTAAGTCGATAATGGTCGCCCAAAGACGAACCGTCAAATTCCAAAATTGATATTGTGATCTTGTGGAGTAAGAAAAGTGGTAACGATGAAGTGACATTTATTTTGAAATATCTCCTCAAATAAGCTCAGGAAAAAATAAAATCGATTTTGCAAAATTTCGGATTTTTCTGGATATATCGGAATTTTTCAAATGTCAAAATACCATTTTATTGAGCGTTAAATTCCACAAATATTTCCCATTTAACCATTGCCGTATCTGCTACTGATAACACGGGATTCCCATGATAGGCATTAGGCATCCTTATCTTGGACACCCATAAAAAAAACTGGTTATTAAAAACATAAAACTTGTTAAAAAAAAAAGTTGGGGTAGCTGGGGGTTAGAGGCCTAGATAAAAATTAATATTTATTTAATTGAAAAATGTGAAAAAGTCAAAATTAATTAACGTGTTTCAGCGTTCTTTGCAAAAATAGCTTGTTGAAAAACTATGAATTTTATTCCAGACTTTTGGCCATCCCTGATGAACCTGTATATCAAATAAAGCATTTATGCATAAATATGTATACAAACCAATTTCTTGAAATAAACCAAAAAAAGTTACAGAACATCCGTTTACAATTTCTTTATGCTTGGTGTCTGTGTGAACAATATTCATAAAAACATTTAAGAAAAATCGCTCCTGCTATTTATGGGAATAAAGCAGCCAGCATCGTAATCTCTGCCACACAGATGATTCGTTATCTTCATATTTATAGAAACAGGCCATGCCCATCAGTATCAGTATCAGTTTATTACCAACAGTAATGTTTCGGTCGTTATTACCGCTTAATAGGCTGCTTATTTCATTATTAATTATTATTCCACTCGAAAATGAAACCGCAAGTTTATCAAGGGATAAGTCTCCTTTCTATCGCGGAGGTGATAAAATCGTGTATCTATCTGCAAAATATTCTTAGATAAGATATAATCAGAAATAATCAGTCCATTAGATAAGCAAAGCGAAAAAATAGTGTGCTAGAGAACGACAAAAATACCGCACTTAGTTTACCTAGCTGCGTTAAACAACAAAATCGCTTTATTAAAATAAATTGAATTGCGGGCTTCTTTATTACTTATATGATTGTTTTGCGTTCATAAGCTATTTGATAAAACACATCCGGCCCTAAAACGCGATCCTGGTGCAGCACAAATGCACGTTTGTGAAACCCAATATGGAATTGTTGAATCAGAGTGTCAGGTCGTTACTTATTATAGTGGTTATTTTATTTGGTAACCAAATAATAGTGATAAATGTTAGTGGGATACTCAATGATGCAGTGAACAGTACAAACTGTAAGTACGAGTACCTAATTTTAATTTTCATAATATTCGATAATACGCGATGCTGCCTGATAAAAAAATTCAAGATTTCCAATGGTAAAATGACTCCTAAAGTATAATATGATGCCCGATATCAACAATGTTTCTTCAAGAAATCGGGCGATCTTTTTGAGGTTAGCAATGCAATCAATCAGAAACGAAAATCATGTTAACCAGTCGCTCAAATAATAGTAGAGGCGTAGTGCCTCAAATAATAGTTAGTTTTTTACCTAGTGCGTTTATTCCAAAATCAAAGTCCAATTAACACAGCAATAATTTATTGCACGTTACTATACACTCTGACACTAATAATTACTCCACTAATTAACACAAACAATTTAACTCTTTACAACTCTTAACAAAATTCACTATCTAAACCATATAACAGCCAAACTTAAACTTAAAAACTACTAATACCGGCCTCTATATATCCGCAATCTATTCGTGTAGAATCCAGAATAAACACGATAACTCTCCTTCCCGAACAGCACCACAAAAATCTAGAATCAGTTGTCCAATCAGATCGCAAGGTAATGTGAGTTCTCTTCCAAAAACGATTCTAGCCAGACTTTCACCTGTTGACTCGTGAACAGCTGCTCTGTAAGCCATTAAAAATAAAGGCAAGTTTTTGTCCCAACCTCGCTAGTTCTTTGCGACCACTTTTGTTAGGTGTTCCTCTATGATCTTATTAAATCATTCTACCATGCCATCAAACTGTGGATCGAAAGGTGTTGTCCTTATCTTACGAATACCCACGATCTCACAAATTTTCTTAAAGATGGTAGATTCGAAGTTTCGTCCCTGATCTGAATGCAACTCTAATGGCACACCATGACGACTGGAAACTTCGTCCACTAGTACCTGGGTAATAGCGATGCGGCTTCTTGATTGGGAATAGCGAAGATGTGTTTGTTACCACGCTCTGACTCGGGGAATGGTCCGGCAACATATATCGCTATTCGTTCAAATGCAAGACCGACTTTCTACTGTTTCATGGGGCCCCGAGATCTTAGTTTAGGACCTCTACTGGTAGCACAGATGTCGCAGCTCGGCACCAGTTTTTAACGTCGTCGTGAAAGTGAACCCAGTAGAAACGTTCCCGAATTTTGTCCAAAGTCTTGTTAACTCCAAAATGTGCCCCTGAAGTTCCGTCATGTATTTCTTTTAATACATCTTCAACTCGATCTTTTGGAATAACCAGTTGGCTATTAGTGGATTTCCCATCGGCACTTTCCCAAACTTTTTCAAGTAAACCATTTTCTACGGCCAGAGAGTTTCACTGAGCCCACAACGCCTTGTAAATCAAGCTCTTGTTCGACACTTCCCTCCATTCTGGCCTACATTCATCATTTTTCTTGAGATGTAGCATTTGTCCAATGTCCTGGTCTGCTTCTTGATTTACTCTCATTTGTTTGGTAGTCTATTTATCATCGACGATAAGACCCGTTCTTTGACAATGCTTGCAGTCTTCTTTACATGGCCGTCTAAACAGAGCATCAATATTTTTATGCAGGTTTCCAGGTCGATGTTTAATTTGGAAATCGTATTGTTGAAATTTCTCAATCCATCTATCAAGCTGTTCTTCGGGAGTTTTCATTTTTAAAAACCATTTAAGAGCCGCGTGATCTGTTCGAATTAGAAACTTACGGCCGTCTAGATATACTTATGAAAATGGTCGACTACCTTTACTATGGCAAGCAACTTTCTTCTGGTGACACAATAATTTCGTTCCAGCTTTGATAAGGTTCTGCTGTAGTACTCTACGACATGCACTTGTCAATTTTGGATTTGTGAAAGGACAGCTCCAATACTGGTGTTGCTTGCATCTGTGTCCAAAATCAACATGCCTTTCTGATCGGGATAGGACAACACTGGGCATCTACATAATGCTCCTTTTAATTTTCTGAAAGAGGAATCGCCTTCTTGGGTCCAATTGAATGTTGATTTTTCTTCCGTTAATCGATAATAAGAACATAATCCCAGAAAACTCCTTAGTTCATGTTTGTCGCGTGGCTTTGGCCAATCCCTGACAGCATCTTTCTTTCCTTTCATAACTTGCTTGCGAATTTCCCATGATTATGACATCATCCAAATATACCAGGCAAGTTCTCCATGTAAGCCCTCGCAAAAGAAGATGCGTCAGTCGCTCAAACGTAGCTGGAGCATTACACAATCCGAAAGGCATTACGTTAAACTGGTATAACCGGCTTCTGGTACTGAAGGCAATTTTCTCTTTGTCATTTTTGTTTATTGCCACTTGCCAGTATCTACTTTTGAGATCCAAAGTGGAAAACCATTTTGGAGCCCGATAGAGTTGTTAACGTATGGTCTATTCTCAGGAAAGGGAAGCTGTTCTTCTTGGTGACGTCATTAAGCTTTCGGTAGTCCACACAAAATCTAAGACTTCCATCTTTCTTCGTAACCAATACTACTGGTGCAGACTATGGTCTATTTGACTCTTCAATAATTCCCTCTTGAAGCATTTTATTGGACCGTCCGGTTTGATTATTCATCACAAATACGTCTGCTTCTTTCAAGATAAAATCTGTGGCTTCTTGAAATCTATCTGGATCGAGATGTTTCCATGATTTTACCAAAGTCTGTATCAAGATGTCTGTATCCAATTTCGATTTCTCAAAATGTCGCTTATCTGGTAGGTCACAGTTCTGGTTCGAGAGTTCCAATAATATCTCCTTTCTTTATTTTTACTGTTTTAGAAGAAACGAAGAAACATTGACAATTCTTATCATAATGTCTCCATTTGTTCTCACTAGAGTCTTTCCAACGAGAAATTTTTCTAGTTTATCTCCAATAAAATTATGTGTTAGTCCAACGCAACACCCAGGGCAGGGCCGCCGCTACCATGTGTGCGGTGTGTTCGAAACACACAGGCGACGAATTGGGAAGGGTTGCCGCCACCAATCTTGATGCAAAAAAAATAATGTGCAGCGCCCTACATGTGATAGAAGTGGAACTTCTTAAAAACTATCCCCCTCATACAAGTTTTAGACTGCGTCTGAGTTGGGGTAAAGACGGAAAAAAAAAACACAAAAGAAAGTCACGCATCTGTAGTGACGTCACAAGGGTATTGGTGCTTGACAATAATAGGCAATCCTTCTTGCTTATAATCCTTGGTTTGTGTCAATCGTTCTTCGGCTGTCATTATCATTAACTGTTTTTCTCCGTCTCTCTACGTTACATCTTTCTTCCTATCGTGTAACGAAATTTCCCAAAACGTGACGCATCTTTCAAATCACTATCCTTCTCGTCCAATTATCAGATCGCCGCCTAAGAAGTTTTCACTTCAAAATAAAACATACCCATCGAGTATATAAATTCGTGCAAAATTAAGTTTGATAGCTCAAAAGGTTTTTAAGCAATTTAAGCCTCAAAGTTGACTTTCAGTCAAGGTTTGAATGTTTTGTAATCAGAATTCAGTTTTGCTCAATTTTGACTTTTTTGATCGATAGAGCAAGTCAAACTTAATGGAAAACAACCCTGACATCAATTCTAAATGGCCATTTCAGGCAAAAACAAAATTAAAAAGAAAAATCTTATTTTTGGTTCAAAAATCTTGACATAGTCATGAGCAATTGGCCATATCTTTATTAAGTTTTGAACAAATTATAATGAATTATATATCACTGGAAAGAACATTAAAATCTCTATGAATTAGTGTAAAATTAGATTTGATATCTCAGACGGTTTTTGAGCAATTGAGTGTCAAAGCTGACTTTTAGTCTAAATTTTGTTAAAAACTTCAAACTCCATTTGCTCAAAAACTATAAGCTTGGGAATATTGTGAATTGCAGGCCATTTAAAACTTAATGAAAGTTACAAATGCTGAAAATTTAAATGCAATTTGCTCAACGGTTACCGAGCAATTGGCCACTTTCACGTAACGAGAATATGGCAAATTATGATATTTTTTGACGCAGATACATCAATGCAACCGAGAATGAACAATATTTTGTATAAAGATTTTAGTCAGATTATTAAATAAATTAATAAATAAAAATTAAAAATTTAAACAAATAATCTCGTGATTGAAATCGCCCTCTGATTGGCTAAAGCCGATGTTGACGTGCTTGTTACCACATTAAGAAATGCGAAATTTAAATGAGATTATGACGATTATACCTATCCTTTATTTTTTTATAATGTAGTAAAGGACGAAAATAGTTTCTAGCTAGTGAAATGTGTTATGATTTACTAATGAGAAATTTGGCATCCTCGCATTTTTGTTGAGTCGATTAAAGGCGAATAACCAGTCGGTTATATTGACAGATAAACAATGCATTTACCGTCATTTATTACCGATTGGTTGACAAATGACGTTTTTTTCATTGATCAACTATGACCGACCGGTTAATCGCCTTTAATCGATGTCGATTTTCTGGTTTGTGAATTCACACACCAGTTTCGCGTTTTCGCGCCAGTTTAAAAATTCGATTTTTAAATATTTTTTTTTTCAAATATAAACGTTTTTTTTTTGGAAAAAAGTATACAGATAGTATTAGCACAGATCACCTAATACAGATGCGTAAGTACGTATACTTGCCGTCGACGATATTCTGTGACGAAGCCGGGCTGCCAGCACCCCCACGCATAGATACAGATCGCCCGCGTCAGTACAATTAACGTGACAGAGTGTGTGAGCATGTTCCAGCCTGTGTGTTTACATATTTTTGCGGGTAGAAAAAAAATATATTTTTTTGCTGTCTGTGAAGCAATTAAAGAAATAATATTATATTATTGAGTTTCCGCATTTATATAATAAATATGTTCAAAATACATTGATGTGGCATTGGTGCGGCCAGCCTATGTCTATCAAAATAATCTTGAACCACGAATTCGCCGCTCTTTCGCATCTGTATGTAGGTAATCTGTGGTATTAGAATGATTAAAAGAATAATTTAAATATGTTTTTGAAAAATGTGAAAGTGGCCCATTTAAGTTAGAATATTTTGAAA